ACCAGGAGCCTGCTCCAGGTCATGTTGTCAGGGATGCTGTCGTTTGCTACCTGGGCGCGGATCTCAAGGATCTCCTGCAGCAGTCGCGCGCTGCCCTCCCTCTCTGGGGGGAGCTGTGTGCGTCTACTCGGTTGGTGCCCATCGCTTGTTCGGGTCTCGTTCCCCTCTCTCCTCATGGTCTGTTGGTTGATCTCGCGAGTCACGGGAGAGCCTACCCCTCGTGCCCTTGCGCGCAGTGCGATCGCGAGACGCGTCGCTTCACCGCAGGGGCTGCCTGGCGCTAGGCGGTGGGCAATGAGTCTTCCCTCCCTTTTGGCAGAGGCGATTAGGGCTGCGCAGGCCACTTCTGTCACCTCGGCGCTTGCGCCCAGCGTCTCGATGGAGGCCCTGTCCGCGGGGGCGGCGAGGAGGGCTTGATCCAGAAAATTGCCTCCCATTTCTCTGCGGAGCCATGCTGTGTCATTCCGTGGGGAGGCTGTCCAGGCATTGCTGGTATCTTGCCCTCAAGTCCTGGGCCCTGGGCATGGCGCCCGCTGGGCCCGGGAGTTGGGCAGGCAGGGCCACGCTGGGGGGTTGGGCAAGGCCTCCGGGCACCCAGTCGCGTAACGACCTGCCGAAGGGGTTTCCCCTGATGCGGTCTCGCATACGTGACGCAGTCTCCATGGCCCATCCCTGCGGGGCGCTGCAGAGTCTGGCGAGGGCGCCCACCGCAGCTCTGAGCATCGGTTCATATCCCAAGTCTTGCGTCATCCCTCACGACAATCGGGCACCCGCCTCTGTCTGCGGTTCTCCCGCTGGCAAGCGCCGCGTCTGTCATGTGGCGCCATGCTGCGAGTAGCTCTGCAATCAGCCATGACGGGGAGTAGCTAGTGGTCTCTGGTGGGAGGTCTGGGGGGCCGATGTGGCTGGGGATAGAGGCGCATCGTGCCCCCGCTCTGGCCAGCTGGAAGGTGAGCTGGGCACCTAGCAAGTCTAGAGGATGTCCTGGGGCTTCGAGGCTGTCGGGGTGGAGTCCGTCCGCGGCTATCACCCATGGGGTGACTAGCCTGTGACAGACGACACACATGGGGCCGCGCGGGTTCCGTGCAAGCCAGCAGCCGCAGTAATCGCATCTGTCGACAAGGCGAAAGAACCTTATCATGTGGGATGTACTGTTTGTAGCCAGGGCCCTTCGGGCGTGTCGCCACCCTCGATCATGGGCCCCGCGATGCCTTGGGCGTGGGGCCCTGCGCCGGGGATGGCGGGGGTGGCCCAGCCACCCTGCCCCGTGCCGCGCTGCACGGAGGAGAGGACGTCCGCCCCAGCGTCGGCCCAGTGCCCCCTGCTGACCGCCCAGTGCCTGACTTCATTGTGATCCGGGAAGCGCACCAGGTTGCGTCGGTGCTCGTGGATTACGTAGCGGCACACCTTGGCTTTGTGCTATGAGTCGGAACCAGCTAGGTTCGCGTCGGCTGCGTCGGGGGCAGCATCGCGGCGCCTCCTCGAGAGCCCAAGCAGGGGCGGCGAAAAGAGGCCCTCCGACGGGCCCCCCACCGAGGTCTGTGTAGAGAGCGGCATGGTGCAGCACCTCGTATTCACTCTCTGTCGCAATGGTTTCCTCCTGAGTTGGCGCGTCGCAGTCCAGGCTCTCCGGTTCGATGGCAGGATTCTGTGTCAGGCTTGCGTAGCGGAGTGCCAGTACCTGAACTGGGTCCGGACCTACTCCTCCGAGCCTTGCCTCATGGTCGGAACCTGTGATCGACCATGCCAACCAGGAGAGGTCAAGCTCTGCCATCGCCGAGGCGCAGGTGCACCTCTGCTGGGGGGATTCCTGCTCCGTTTGCACCACGTGGCTGGGGTCTGCCCTGAGTGGGCATCGGGCACCCCCTGCTGTGGAAGGGCCCCCGCTGACGGCTGCATGCCAGGGGGGGTGGCGGAGCCAGCAGAAGCTTACCACGTTTTCAAGACCACTGTTCATTGCCTGGTTGCAAGGCGAGCGCCTGGGGAGCTCTCTCCAAGGGCCATCCCTTGGTTCATGGTGCCCCATGAGTGCCGCTAGTGCGCCGCCTCTCATGGCGCCCCTTGGGTCGACGACTCTCGGGGCCAGGAGGGGGGCGTCAGCGTCACGGGTGCCGCAACGCCTGGGTTGTGGGGGGGGCCTGCGGTTAGCTGGGTCAACTCCGCGCCCAAGGCCAGCCACCTGTCCTTCCGAACTGAGCGACCTTGAGCCTGGCGGCGGGGACGGGGGGAGACTAGGAGGAGGTGTGATCAGGCGACCGTGGACGCGAGCGGCTGATCTGCTGTCGATCTCGTCGGGGTCCTCCAAGTCGTGGGGCGCTTCGCTGTCGGGGGTGCTACCGCTGGGCTCGCGGTCTCGCAGAAGCCACTCCCAATCGACCTCGCCCCAATGCTGCTGTCCGTTGTCCGCGTCGAACCCGGTCGGGTGGAAAGGCAGCGCGGGGGAGATCTCAATGTCTTCGCCCAGGCCCGTAGGGGGCAGGGGAGTCGGGAAGGCAGAGGAGGGGGCGTGCGGGGGCGAAAGGGGAGGGTCAGGTGGGGGATCCCCCCCGCCGTCGCTGGTCAAGTCCAACGGGTTCCTGGGCGGGGTATCCTCTATGTCATCGCGGGCACCCCGCGCGCCCGCCAAGGGCGCTGGCGGGGCTCGATCCTGCAGGGAACCTTCTGGCAATAGCCAAAAGCCGCAGTAACTGGTGAATCTTGATTAGAATTGGGGGCGCAGCCAAGAGCCGCTGAACTCGGATCCTGCACTAGAGGAGGAGGAGGAAGATGGGGGGCGCAGCCAAAAGCCGCAGTAATTTGTGAATTGGAGGAGGAGGGGGGCAGGGCGGCCCTCTGGAGCAGTGCTGCCTGCTCTGGGTCCTCTCTCTGTTCTCCCCCTAGCGGTCCCTGAGGTGGCGCCTCAGTCGCCGCGGGGGGGGGGCTTCCTCGCCTGTCCTCCTGGTGGGAGGCCAGCGCCGTCGACTTCTGTGGACTCCGATCGTCTCTCTCCAGATGCCTCGTTCACTGCCGTCTCTTGGTTCCTTACGCGAGCCTCATTCTCGGCCTCAGGGGGCTGGGTGGAACCTGTCGCTGGGGCTTCGCGATCACGGTCTGCCCCCCCGCGGGGGGAGGGGGGAGGCGTGGACGGAACTGGGATCAGAACGGGGTCCAGGGCGGCGCCAGTGTGAGCTCCGTCCCCCTCTGTCTGGTTGCCGTCTTCCGCGGGGCAGAGGGCCAACGTGGACGCAGCTGGCGTCGGCACTGTGTCTGCCGAGTCTGCGGGGGGGGCTGTTGCCTGTGGGGGGTCTGCGCCTGATCTGGATCTGGGTGGGGGCCGATCGAGTGCAGTGACTGGGCTCCCGCGCCCTGCACTGAGGGATCACTGCCTCCATCACCATCGTCAGGCTGATCCTCCATGGGTCTGAGCCGCGGGCCACAGCAGCACCGAAAGCGAGCTGGTATCGCCGGCGCGCGCTGGCGGAGCGGCAGGGCCCCGGGCCGGGGGCGCGGTGCAGCGTCCGGGCGCCCCCTTGAGCGCGGGAGACTGACCCGAGGGAGCCAGGCCCGCTGACGGCTTGAGCCATGGCTACGGAAGGGTGGGCTCACGCGAAGCGTCAAGAATCCCATTGACATCCGATTGGGATCGTACTGGGTTAATGTTACAATTCTCTTGGGCATGTTCGGGATCCGGTTGGGGTCTTGTTGGAATGCGAGCATCACTTCCACTGGGGAAGAAGCGATCTAATTTCATCGTAAAGGGGGGGCGATGATTGGGGTTCACGTGTAAGTAATGGGGAATGGGGCAAGAGTTGTGGATGCCACGACAATGGACACCCTAACAGCCCTATGATTGAATTCTAGATGTGGTTAAAACGTAGTAGACATGTTCTAAACATGTTTTTAAACATGTTTAAACCATGTTCAAAACATGTTTATCACATGTTTTAGACATCTGGACATGACTTGGCAACATGCTTCCTCTCCATTGATCGTCCTTCACAAGACAAGAGGAATAGGGCCTGAGGTCTGGGGGGGGCTGGAAGAGGTGAGCGGGAACACACACACACACAACGGAAGGCAAGGTGAGGAAATGGGAACAGGCACACAAAGGGGAACGGGAAGGTGAAAGGATGGGAAGCGAAAATGAAAGGATGAATGGAAGGAAAGGGGACAGGGGAAAGAAAAAACGAGGGGGAAGGAAACAACGAGGAACGAAAAAAGGAGGGCGATGAGGACGAAGAGGGCGATAAAAATTTGAAGCATAATCGAAATAGGGAGAAGAGGAAGCATGATGTGGAAAAACAATGAAGAGGAGGACGAGAACGAATCTGGAGACTAGATGGTCAGAAATAGGGCCCTCGCCCAGAAAGAAGTCACACAAAGCACCCAGAAACCGCTACCCTCGATGCAGGAGGGAACGGAGTAGGTGCGGCAGGTTCATGTCTTCATGTCGTGACGTCGTGTGCGGTTGGTTCCTGGTACAGCGCGGACCGTTCAGACCTTGAACGATCCCAGCTTTGTCGACAACGATAACCGCTCGGTATCAGCAGACTCTAGGCCACTGGCTGAAAAGAAAAAACGACGCTGCCCAAGGCTCCCCCCTGTGTCACCGAATTCTCTTCCGCTGCCATACAGTATCCACGTCCCGGTTGGGGAATGTTAGCCCCACTCCACTTCGAGAAACGAGGCAAAGCCCGCACGTGCGGAACGTCCCTGTCTCTCAGGATCGACTGGCCCACGTCCAGCTGCTGTTCCACCCTGAAGCCCGCGCTGGGGTCGCCGCCGCGTCAACGCGGCGCGAACCGGCCATCATATCGCGTCGCGCTCGGCGATCGGGGGACCCCTATAGGCCCGCACCACAGGGGGCGACGGAAGAGGAGGAGGAGGAGGAGGAGGAGGAGGAGGAGGAGGAGGAGGAGGAGGAGGAGGAGGAGGGGGAGGAGGAGGAGGAGGAGGAGGAGGAGGAGGAGGAGGAGGAGGAGGAGGAGGAGGGGGAGGAGGAGGAGGAGGAGGAGGAGGAGGAGGAGGAGGAGGAGGAGGAGGAGGAGGGTACACTGGCTCGCTGGCAGATTCTCGACTGCCCTGACGGCGCCGGCGGGGGCTGCCACTGCCGCGCCGGCCTCCCCGCGAGAGCGCCTTCCTTTGGGAGGCCGCGTCGGGCAGGCACCGGGCGGTCGAAGCCGCGGCAGCGGTCGTCGCAAGAGGCGACTCTGAGGCCCCAGGCCCCAGGCATCAAGAGTCTTGAGAAAGTGTAGCAGAGGTCTTGAATCCTTTTCGGCGTCTGGAGGCCTGTCCTGCGCCCCAGGGCCTGCAGAAAGTGCTCAAAGAAGGGGGGCGAAGAGCTGCGGGGGACCCAGGGCCTCAGGGCCAGGGGCACCCCTGGCAGCATCCGACCAGCAGGCCGGGGCTGGGCAGCTCAGCCAGCGTACTTCAGGAAGCCGGCGGCCGAGGTGGCGATGCGGTGGTGGCGAAGCTTGACGTTGCCGTCCTCGAGGGGTCAAGGGGAGCCCGGACATCCCGCGCGCATCGAGCAAGCAAAGAGCGGTGCATAACAAAACCGGCCGTGGGTCGGGGCTTCGTGAACGGGGGTCTTGCCAAACGGGGGCTTAGGCTTTTCCATATGCCCCCGTTCACTGTGCTCCCGTCTACGGCGCCCAGGGCCCCCGAAACGGGGGCATAGCCAAACGTGGAAATCGGCGTTCCCCGTGCCCCCGTTTGCTGTGCCCCCGTTTGCTGTGCCCCCGTTTGGCAAACAACTGCTTCGGGCTGTAAGAAACCGGCCGTGGGGGGGGGGAGGGTCAAGGTGCCGGGCCCACGCATCGAACAAGCGGAAGCGCTATATGTCTTGGAGGATGAAGCGGCCTGAGCAGGAGGAGGGAGGGAGGGAGGGAGGGAGGGAGGGAGGGAGGGAGGGAGGGAGGGAGGGAGGGAGGGAGCAGGAGAGTGGTGCAGCGCTTGTGCCCTCAAGTGAGCGTTTTCTTATTCGGCGTTTCGACATTGGGCGAAGGGGGGAGGGAGGGGGGGGGTCTGGCTCCAGACCTCTGCTTAGTGTCACTGCTTGCCAGAGTGCGGCCTCTGGAGGAGACTCCACCTGCTCGAAACAGGCACCAAAAACAGCCAAGATCTACTCCATGGGGGGAGGGGAGGGGGAGGGGGATGGGTGCGAGGGCCCGCGCCGATGGGCAAGACAAGGAATAAAAAAACGATCACCAAGGGTGAACATAATCCCTGCATGTTCGGACAGGGCGTTCAGCTCACCCAGCCTTGAGTCTGCGCTCTGGGAGGCTGGTCGCTCTCACCCCTGGGAGCCGGTCTGGAAACCAGGTAAGCACTGTAGAGGTGGATGGCAGGACAGTCTGGCGCTGTGGATGCCACGACAATGGACACTCTGACAATGCTATTATTGAATTAAAAGTGTGTTTAACATGTGTAAAACATGTTATAAAAATGTTTCAAACATGTTCTTATGATTATAACATGTTTGAAACATGTGTTGACATCTGGAAACTATTTGGCAACATGTTTCCTCTCCATTAATCGATTTCCACAAGTCTGGCAGAACTGTCACCTCTGTTGGGAGGGGTCGCCGCCCCTCAGGGAACGCTTCTGTTGCATCCTCGGGGGCTCTTGTCTGTCCCGTCGCGGTCCTATCCGCGTCGAATCCGTGTCGAATCCATGTCGGACTCAGGAAATCCATGTCGAATCCGTGTCGAGTTCACGCCAAATCCGCGTCGAGTCCGCATCGAGCCCACGTCGGACACAAAAGAAGACACCAGTCTTGAGGAGAGGCGAGGTCCCCCAAAGATGCAACATAAGGAAGAAGTGACAAGGAGGACCCGCTCCCCAGCAGGATTGGATAGTCACCAATGGGTGACAGGGGGCACCTGCTCAACATCCGGACGGATCAACACGTCACGGGCGACAGGGGGGGCCTGCTCCACAGCCAGGCAGGTCGCCACCTCAAGTCGCAAGGGAAGGTGGCATGTACGCAGGACCGCTGGCATTGCCGCCAGGCTATGTCCTGGAGGTCGACTACCTCGCGCTCGGGGCGCGGTCTAGAGGATGCTGGTCATGAGGGGGGGGACGAAGAGGATCAATGATGCTGCGGGCGTTTGGGGGGAACCTTCATGGGAGCCTCTGTGGACCTCCGCGATCCTATCACGAACGTGATTTCAACCTGAGTTCGTCCAGATGTGGACCGTCCCTCTCCACAAGTTGGTCCAGACTTCGTCAAGATTTCGTCCAAGTGTCGACCAAATCCGGCGAAATCCAAACGAACTCCCCAAAACCGCAAGGAATTTTGGAACCCTCTCAGGCTCCCATGAACGACCACACAAGGGCGTTGTTTCCTGTGGGCGTAACTGCTTGTTGTGAGCGCGGCATGCGTGCAAGACCGCAGGAATTGCCGCCGGACTCCCCTGGGAGGCCAACACCCCGCGTGGTGACGCGGAATCCAGGAGATGGCGCTGATCTGGGCGGGTTGTGAACGAAACCGACAGCGCTGCTGGCGGTGTGCCATGTGGTGGAAAATACCTCGTGCGAGTGTGTGGTATGCGTTGCTGTCGATCCCCGCTCCTCGCTTATCTCTCAGCATTGCTTGTCCTCACTTGCCCTTGTCCTGCTGACCCCTTGTCGTCTTAATTCTGGTTGATTTTGGCCGCTGCTGCATTGTGCGAATTATGTGTTTGCCTTCTCTTGCCTGCGCGCGCGCGTGCGCCAGCGGTCACTTTCAATCGGTATGTTGCCTAGCTCGCTCGACCCGCGACGCTCAAAAGGCCCGCCAGCATTGCCACTGGGTCGCCGTGGAGGTCAATACCTCGTTTGAAGTCGAGCGGGGGTAGATACATCGTGTGAAAATTGCTGCGCGCCCGCCAGACCGCCGCACGCACTGCCGACCCCGCCACAAACTGTCGCGCGGAGCCCCGCCGAAGACCGCAATCGCCGTCACCTCGCGCCGCCGCCGGACGGACCTCGCCCCCTCGACCGAAAGCCGAGGTGCGCGTCCTCGAGACTGGGAGGCGCCTGACTCCCGACCGCCGAGCCAGGGCCGGCGGCGCCTTCCCGCCCGACCCGCGCGAACCCCGCCTGCATCGCCTCTCCGCGACGGCGCTGCATTGCCCTGGCGGGCGCGCTCGGGGCGGCCCGGCGCCACCCCCAGCGAGTCGGCGCACTCCTGCCCGGGATCACTCTGAGGCGGCGGCCCAGCGCTGCCCAGCACCTGCGTTTGAAAGCTGGCCTGGAAGCCTTTCCCGCGACGCATGTCCACCTTTCTGATGCGTCTTCGATCAGATGGACGCCGAGGGCCCCCTTCTGGCGCCCCTCGCCGCCTTGTCCCAGGCAGCTCGGGCACCTCCGCCCCCGCCGCCCCGGCGGCGAAGCGCTGCGGCATGCTTAGCGCCCCACCCGCGCGGGCGCGCGGCCGCGCCGCGCGCGAACCCCGCGGGGCCCGTCGCGAGGCGCACGCGCCTCGACGGGGGGCGGGGGGCCCGCGAAGCGCGTCCAAATGGACCCCCCCAGAAGCCCGCGCGGCCTCGGCCCCCCAGCAGCAAGCGGCCGCAAAAGAGGCCGCAGAAAACTTCGATCGCGCTACGATCAGATTGACAGACCACGCGCAGCCCCGAAGCCATGCCCGCCCCCCATAGGACCCGTCCCCCGGCGAGGGCGCGCACCCCGTCGAGCGCCCTCCCTCCGCCCGAGGCAAAAGGGGCGGCCCACGAACAATCGGCCATCGCCGCAGGCGGGCGCCCGCCGGTCTGCGGGGGCTCGGGGCTGTCCGCGCAGCAAGCAGCTGCGAGACGCGCGACGCGTTGCCGACTCGACCGCGCTGCAATCGAACAACAGGGGAAGGCGCGGTCTCGAATCTCAATGCCCTACCCGACTCCCATGCGACAACACCCCCACCGAAGGCGCACTCATCTGTCGAGCGCCATCCCCCCGCCCGCGGCGGGAGGGGGGGGGGCGCGCGGACGGGCGGGCGCCGTCGCCCTGGGAGGGCGCCCACTGGTCGACGGGGGTTCCGAACCGTCCAGGAGGCGCGCGGGAAGGCACAACGGAGGTCCCAGACCGGGGTCGCCCGACGACCCAAGAGCCTCGACCGCGCAGCGACCAGACACAGAACGGAGGTCCGCGAGGCCCCGAATAAGCGGGGGAGAAAGGGCCCCATGAGCCCATGAATCCTTTGAGCGTATTTGGGGGGGCACACGTGGGCGCATCGCACCGCGGCTCGCCGAACGGCCGCGCGGCGAGGGCCGTGCCCGACGCGTCCGAGGGCCCGAAACAGCAGCTCCAGGTCGTGTTTTTGACCCCCGCACCCCACAACAAATCGAATGCGCAATTTCCCGATCGCACTTTTGATAACGCGCTCAAAATTACGATCCGCCCGAAACTCTCCCGCATTATATTTTTGAGGACACCCCTTCGAAACTGCCGCGCCGCACTTTTGAGCGCCCCCCCGCCCCGCGCCCCGGGGCGGCCCGGGGGAAGGGAGGCCGGAAGGGGGGGGGGGGGGGGCGCGCGCGCTCTCGCGCGCGGCGGCGCCCGCGCCCGCCCCGCGGCGACCTCCCGCCGCTCGTGTTTCAATGCGATCCAAAAGTCCCATGCGCGCATAGGACCCTTTCTCCTCACCCCGACAGACCCCCCCCCCATGGGCGGGAGCCGCAGAGGGCGCGCACGGGGCTCTATATGAATCTCCAACCACTGGGGAGCCTGGCGCCTGTCCTTGCCGCTGAGGCCGCGGCGCTGGCGATCCCGAGTTGCAGGAGGTCCCAGCCATGGGTTTAGACGCGCCCTCGGCGATTCCTCGCTGGAAAAAGAGCAACGTTAGAAATCCAACATGGGATTCGCCGCGCGGGCGCGCTCTCTCCGGGGAAGGGGGGAGCTCGGGGCCGACCCTGCACATGAGGATGGCCCCTGGGCCCCCAACGTCGAAACCATCGCGGAACCAAGCTGAACCAAGCAGGATCCTGCGGAATTCAGAAGGCTTCGTGACCTGTGCAACGTCGGAACCATCGTGGAACCAAGCTGGGACCAAGCAGCAACCTGGCGAATGCAAAAGATCCGCTACCTGCGCAACGTCGGAAACATCGCGAAACCGAGCTGGAGCCGAGCAAGAACCTGGTGAATTCAAAGGGTCGCGTGACCTGCGCAACGCCAGCACCATCGTGGAACCAACCTGGAGCCAAGCAGGAACCATCGAGCACATTGCGAATTCCAATAGTTTCACAACCTGGACAACGTTGGAACCACCGCGGGGTCAGGCTGGAACCAAGCAGGAGCCATGTGAATTAATACGGTTTCGCGACCCTTGCACCGTCGGCGCCATCGTGGAACCAAACTGGAACCAAGGAGGAACCAAGTGACTGCACAATTTGCGTGGATTTGCGAACTTGCAACTTCGGAACCATCTTGGAACCAAAATGGAGCCAAGCAGGAACCGCGTGA